CAGGATTAAAATTCAAAATGACCTTGACAGATTAGCGTCCTGGGCCAAAACTAACAAAATGAATTTCAGCAGGGAGAAATGTAAGGTCCTATACCTAGGCAGAAAAAATGAACTGCATAGATATAGGATGTAAGACACCTGGCTGGACAACAGTACCTGTGAAAGGGATCTATGAGTCTTGGTAGACCACAAACTGAACATGAGTCAGCAATCTGATGTGGCTGCCAAGAAAGCCAATGCAATTCTTGGTTGCATCAATAGGAGTATAGTGTCTACTCTAGAATCTAGATCAAGGGAAGTGATAGTACCACTCTATTGTGCTTTAGTCAGACCTCACCTGAAGTATTGTGTCCAGTTCTGGGCACCTCAATTCAAGAAGGATGTTGACAACCTGGAATGTGTCCAGAGGAGGGCGACCAAAATGGTCAAAGGTCTGGAAGCCATGTACTATGAGGAGCAACTTAGGGAGCTGGGAATGTTTAGCCTTAGAAGGTTAAGAGGGGACATGATAGCCATATTTAAATATATGAAGGGATTCATGTCGAGGAAGGTTGTTTTCCACAGCTCCAGGCACTAGGACAAGGAGCAATGGCTTCAAACTACAGGAAAAGAGATCCACGTGAATCTCAGGAAGATTCAGGAAGAACTTCCTGACAGTCAGAGCTCGTTGGCAGTGGAATATGCTGCCTCGGAATGTGATAGAGTCTCTTTCTTTGGAAGTTTTTAAGCAGAGGCTGGATGGCCATCTTTCGAGAGTGCTTTGGTGGAATTCCTGCATGGCAGGGGGTTGGACTTGATGGCTCCCGTAGTCTCTTCCAACTCTGTTATTCTATGATTCTATAATCTACTTAAAAAACTCTCTCAGTCAGTCAGTCAGTTAGTGAAAGCCTGCCTGAACAAAAAGGTCTTCACCTGCTTGCAAAAGGACAGCAAAGACGGGACCACCCTAGCCTCCCATGAGAGGGAGTTCCAGAGTCTGGGAGTAGTGACAGAAAAGACCTTCTCCCATTTCTCACCAAAGGCACCAGTGAAGGTGGTGGGACTGAGAGGAAGGCCTCTCCTGATCATAAGACTTGGGCAGACTCATAAAGAGAGTCACAATTCTTGAGATAGGTTGGACCAAAGTTATTTAGAGCTTTATAGATTAAACCCAGCACTTTGAATTGTGCTGGTAAATGGATTGGCAGCCAGTGGAGCTGCTGTTGTCCCATAACCAGTCCCAATTAACAATCAAGCTGTCATGTTTTGGACTCACTGAAGTTTCCAAACACTTCCCAACAGCAGACCCCCATATAGCAAGTTACAGTAATCCAGCCGAGCTGTAACTAAGGCATGTGTCACCATAACCAGACCTCTCAAGTAATGCACATAGTTGGTGCACTAGTTTCAACTGTGCAAAGACATTCTTGGCCACCTCTGAAGCCTGGGCATCTAGGCTCAGACATAAATCCAGGAACACACCCAAACCGCATACCTGTGTTTTTAGAGGAAGTGTAACCCCACACAGGGGAACTCTTCTAGTCTCTTGTATGTTCTGGTTTGTTTGCTTAAACCATTGTTCAAAAGTGCGGCAAAATTAAAGGATGAAAAGAAAGAAAACTGGCAAAACACTGTGACACTTTAAATACCAGATTTGTTTCATGTGAACTCTCATAGATCAAAATCTACTTGTTCAGACATGTTCCATTAAGGTACCACAATATTTTGTCCCTCTGCATTTCCTTTTTCCCTTTAATATTGCCAGTTTTCTGAGACCAACATGGCCAATTCTTTGGAAATTGTTCAATTACTGCTATAATGCCTACTTTCTTCCATTCTGTATTTAATTCTAAAATGGAGCATTTTATTCCTACAGCTATCCTAATGGTTAATGGCTTGCTGGAATTTTGCTCTTACATGTATTATGGTCTTTGTATCAGCAATATGTTCTTTAATACAAAGCTTCAACACAGTTTCCTGGAGACATCCAAGATCGAAGCATTGGCATCAGCTAAATTTCATCCTCACTAGACGTTCTAGCCTTCCTAGTATTACAATCACACACGGTTACCAGAGTGCTGATTGCAATACTGATCATTCCCTGGTATGTAGTAGAGTAAAACTGCGAGCAAAGATGAAAAAGGAAGAACACGTATTGATATCAGCAAGACACGTGATCAAAGAAAAGTGGAGGAATTTGCCCAAGCGCTTGAGGAAACCCTCCCAGGCTCGGCTGATGCTAATGCACATGAACGATGGGAACATTTCAAAACACTGTGTATAACACCGCCTTGTACACATTTGGCAAGAAGACCAAAAAGGCGGCCTACGGTTTGAAGCCAATTCGGAGGAGTTGATCCCAGCCATCGAAGAAAAGAGATCTCTAGCAGCATACAAAGTGTGTCCTACTGAGTACAACTTGAAGGTTCTTTGAGTTACTTGTAGCAAAGTCCAACAGACTGCCAGGAGATGTTCTAATGATTATTGGCTTCAACTCTGTTCTCAGATACAGATAGCAGCAGACACAGGTAACATAAAGGGAATGTATGACGGCATCAAGCAGGCTTTAGGTCCAATACAGAAGAAATCTGCTCCTTTGAAGTCTGCTACAGGTGTGATCATCCAGGACCAAGCACAGCAGATGAAACATGGCCTCTCCCATTTTGAGGACACACTTGTCCAGCAGGATGAGGCAAAGAGGCAGTCCCGAAACTAGCAAAATCAGGGAGCTGGACAGGGGACAGATTGTATTTGTCTTCAGTGTGGAATGGATTGTCACTCTCAAATTGACCTTCTCAGCCACACTAGATGCTGTTCCAAGTCCTCCATACAGAGCATATTACCATAGTCTCTCGAGACTGAAGGATGCCTAACTATCCTAATGGACACAAACATATCCTTGCTGTTCTGTGAATTTCCACTTCCAAATACAGTATTCCATAACAGCAACACTAAAGGAATTCAAAAGCAGAATAGATCATTTATAATATTTTTTTAAAAGGATTGTCTATAAAGCCCAGATAATAATCTACTTAGGGATTCTTAGTTAACTTTTAAAGCATAGCCTTGAAGCTAACACATGTCAATAGAGCAATAAAAGCAATTTAAAATAGCATTTTAAAATAAAAATTTAAGCCCATTAAAAATTGACACACAATTTAAGCAATTCAGAGCAAGATACTTCATACCAAAATTACATTAAAACATTTTAAAATGTGTAATTCTAATTGGATTAGTCTTTAAGCTGCATACATGTGTACTGAAGAGTATACACAGTATTATATAACTGTTTGCAATATTCTCATTACATATAACTTACATTTAATCAAATTTTAATTAAATACTGTATATGTATTAATTTAATTAATATATATATACATATATATATATATTCCTGCTTCTATGTATATGAAAACATAATACTGTACATGGTTATACCATACTTGAATTAATTTGCTTATATCTAACTTATAATTGATCTGTGTCACCATGCAGTCACTATGTCCATTCAGCAGCAGGAACCACCTACATAGGTTCCAGGGTGATCCATGCAAAGTATGCACAAAAGGGCCACATCATGCTTGGCATCACCACATTCTGCGATACCTCATAATTGAAAAGACGTTGTGCAGAGGACAGGTGTCATCAATCACTGTTGTAATTTACAAGAAAACTGATCAGGTTCTTGGATTCAGAAATATCACTTTAAATTTGACTTTAAACATAGATGACTTACTAGTTCTCCCTCCCCATATTCATATATAAGAAAGAAAATTAATGTAATCATGAACAGCTGCAGCAGCTGTATTCCTCCTCTTAATTCCTCAAGACATAGCCAATGACTTCTATGTCTGTAGGAACTATTTAAAAGCTAGAAACGGTAAGTATACAAATATTTTAAAAGAAAAATATATATTAAAAACTGTAAATAAAATCAATAATAAAAAAATTAAAATCAACAAGGCACAGTAATCCGCTCTCAGACTGCCAGTCACTAAGGGAAAGAAAGTCTGCCTGAACTTAAAAAAAGAGGGGCAGGGCTTACCTGCATTCAGATCCATACATAGCCATATACTGTAATTAACTAACTGGATGACCTCTGACTTAGCCACCATTAAGATTTTTGAGGGGGTAAAATGGAGGCTGTAGGTATATTGCCCTGATCTCTTTGGAGGAAGGCCATAATTTAA